TATATTTTTATAGAAAATTACCAGCAATATATTTTTATAGTAAGATTATCAGCAATATATTTTTTATAGAAAATTACCAGCAATATATTTTTATAGTAAGATTACCAGCAATATATTTTTATAGAAAATTACCAGCAATATATTTTTATAGTAAGATTACCAGCAATATATTTTTATAGAAAATTACCAGCAATATATTTTTATAGTAAGATTATCAGCAATATATTTTTTATAGAAAATTACCAGCAATATATTTTATAGTAAGATTACCAACAATATATTTTTATAGAAAATTACCAGCAATATATTTTTATAGTAAGATTATTTTTAGCAATATATTTTTTATAGAAAATTACCAGCAATACATTTTTATAGAAAGTTACCAGCAATATATTTTTATAGAAAATTACCAGCAATACATTTTTATAGAAAATTACCAGCAATATATTTTTATAGAAAATTACCAGCAATGCATTTTATAGTAAAATGACATAAATTATGTTCAAAATATTTAGATTTCGGCATTAACCCATAGAGGTGTTGATATGCCGCTAAACAAAATCGACCAAAAATGCGGTTGCTGTAGTTCTATGTTTCATAAGCCACCAAATTTTTGTTTTTCATCTGATGTTTAAAAGTTTTCTTTTTGGTTAAAATGGCTCTTTGCCCATTTGTACGGTCGGGTCTTGTAATTAAAGCATATGATAAACCCGAAACATGTACGGTCGGGTCTTGTAATTAAAGCATATGATAAACCCGAAACATGTACGGACGGGTCTTGTAATTAAAGCATATGATAAACCCGAAACATGTACGGTCGGGTCTTGTAATTAAAGCATATGATAAACCCGAAACATGTACGGTCGGGTCTTTGTAATTAAAGCATATGATAAACCCAAAACATGTACGGACGGGTCTTGTAATTAAAGCATATGATAAACCCAGAAACATGTACGGTCGGGTCTTGTAATTAAAGCATATGATAAACCCGAAACATGTACGGTCGGGTCTTGTAATTAAAGCATATGATAAACCCGAAACATGTACGGTCAGGGTCTTGTAATTAAAGCATATGATAAACCCGAAACATGTACGGTCGGGTCTTGTAATTAAAGCATATGATAAACCCGAAACATGTACGGTCAGGTCTTGTAATTAAAGCATATGATAAACCCGAAACATGTACGGTCGGGTCTTGTAATTAAAGCATATGATAAACCCGAAACATGTACGGACGGGTCTTGTAATTAAAGCATATGATAAACCCAGAAACATGTACGGTCGGGTCTTGTAATTAAAGCATATGATAAACCCGAAACATGTACGGTCAGGTCTTATAATTAAAGCATATGATAAACCCAGAAACATGTACGGTCGGGTCTTGTAATTAAAGCATATGATAAACCCGAAACATGTACGGACGGGTCTTGTAATTAAAGATATGATAAACCCGAAACATGTACGGTCGGGTCTTGTAATTAAAAGCATAATAAACCCGAAACATGTACGGACGGGTCTTGTAATTAAAGCATATGATAAACCCGAAACATGTACGGTCGGGTCTTGTAATTAAAGCATATGATAAACCCGAAACATGTACGGTCAGGTCTTGTAATTAAAGCATATGATAAACCCGAAACATGTACGGTCGGGTCTTTGTAATTAAAGCATATGATAAACCCGAAACATGTACGGTCGGGTCTTGTAATTAAAGCATATGATAAACCCGAAACATGTACGGACGGGTCTTGTAATTAAAGCATATGATAAACCCAAACATGTACGGTCGGGTCTTGTAATTAAAGCATATGATAAACCCGAAACATGTACGGTCGGGTCTTGTAATTAAAGCATATGATAAACCCGAAACATGTACGGACGGGTCTTGTAATTAAAGCATATGATAAACCCGAAACATGTACGGTCGGGTCTTGTAATTAAAGCATATGATAAACCCGAAACATGTACGGTCGGGTCTTGTAATTAAAGCATATGATAAACCCGAAACATGTACGGTCCCGAAACATGGGTCTCTTGTAATTAAAGCATATGATAAACCCGAAACATGTACGGACGGGTCTTGTAATTAAAGCATATGATAAACCCGAAACATGTACGGTCGAGGTCTTGTAATTAAAGCATATGATAAACCTGAAACATGTACGGTCGGGTCTTGTAATTAAAGCATATGATAAACCCGAAACATGTACGGTCGGGTCTTGTAATTAAAGCATATGATAAACCCGAAACATGTACGGTCGGGTCTTGTAATTAAAGCATATGATAAACCCGAAACATGTACGGTCGAGTCTTGTAATTAAAGCATATGATAAACCCAAAAACATGTACGGTCGGGTCTTGTAATTAAAGCATATGATAAACCCGAAACATGTACGGTCAGGTCTTGTAATTAAAGCATATGATAAACCCGAAACATGTACGGTCGGGTCTTGTAATTAAAGCATATGATAAACCCGAAACATGTACGGTCGGGTCTTATAATTAAAGCATATGATAAACCCAAAACATGTAAATTAAAGCATATGATAAACCCAGAAACATGTACGGTCGGGTCTTGTAATTAAAGCATATGATAAACCCGAAACATGTACGGTCGGGTCTTGTAATTAAAGCATATGATAAACCCGAAAACATGTACGGTCGAGTCTTGTAATTAAAGCATATGATAAACCCAGAAACATGTACGGTCGAGTCTTGTAATTAAAGCATATGATAAACCCAGAAACATGTACGGTCGAGTCTTGTAATTAAAGCATATGATAAACCCGAAACATGTACGGTCGGGTCTTGTAATTAAAAGCATAAGCACGGTCGGGTCTTATAATTAAAGCATATGATAAACCAAAACATGTACGGTCGGGTCTTGTAATTAAAGCATATGATAAACCCAGAAACATGTACGGTCGGGTCTTGTAATTAAAGCATATGATAAACCCGAAACATGTACGGTCGGGTCTTGTAATTAAAGCATATGATAAACCCGAAACATGTACGGTCGAGTCTTGTAATTAAAGCATATGATAAACCCGAAACATGTACGGTCGAGTCTTGTAATTAAAGCATATGATAAACCCGAAACATGTAAGTCTTGTAATTAAAGCATATGATAAACCCAAAAACATGTACGGACGGGTCTTGTAATTAAAGCATATGATAAACCCGAAACATGTACGGTCGGGTCTTGTAATTAAAGCATATGATAAACCCGAAACATGTACGGTCGGGTCTTGTAATTAAAGCATATGATAAACCCGAAACATGTACGGTCGAGTCTTGTAATTAAAGCATATGATAAACCCAGAAAACATGTACGGTCGGTCTTTGTAATTAAAGCATATGATAAACCCGAAACATGTACGGTCGAGTCGTAATTAAAGCATACCTGATAAACCTGAAAACATTACGGTCGAAATTAAAGCATATGATAAACCCGTACGGTCGAGTCTTGTAATTAAATGTATAAACCCAGAAAACATGGGTCTTGTAATTAAAGCATATGATAAACCCATGTACAGTCCACAATTAAAGTACCCGAAACATGTACGGTCGGGTCTTGTAATTAAAGCATATGATAAACCCGAAACATGTACAGACAGGTCTTGTAATTAAAGCATATGATAAACCCGAAACATGTACGGTCGGGTCTTGTAATTAAAGCATATGATAAACCCGAAACATGTACGGTCGGGTCTTGTAATTAAAGCATATGATAAACCCGAAACATGTACGGTCGGGTCTTGTAATTAAAGCATATGATAAACCCGAAACATGTACGGTCGAGTCTTGTAATTAAAGCATATGATAAACCCGAAACATGTACGGTCGAGTCTTGTAATTAAAGCATATGATAAACCCAGAAACATGTACGGTCGAGTCTTGTAATTAAAGCATATGATAAACCCGAAACATGTACGGTCGAGTCTTGTAATTAAAGCATATGATAAACCCGAAACATGTACGGTCGGGTCTTGTAATTAAAGCATATGATAAACCCGAAACATGTACGGTCGGGTCTTTGTAATTAAAAGCATATGATAAACCCGAAACATGTACGGTCGGGTCTTGTAATTAAAAGCATATGATAAACCCGAAACATGTACGGACGGGTCTTGTAATTAAAGCATATGATAAACCCGAAACATGTACGGTCGGGTCTTGTAATTAAAGCATATGATAAACCCGAAACATGTACGGTCGAGTCTTGTAATTAAAGCATATGATAAACCCGAAACATGTACGGTCGAGTCTTGTAATTAAAGCATATGATAAACCCGAAACATGTACGGTCGAGTCTTGTAATTAAAGCATATGATAAACCCGAAACATGTACGGACGGGTCTTGTAATTAAAGCATATGATAAACCCAGAAACATGTACGGTCGGGTCTTGTAATTAAAGCATATGATAAACCCAGAAACATGTACGGTCGGGTCTTGTAATTAAAGCATATGATAAACCCGAAACATGTACGGACGGGTCTTGTAATTAAAGCATATGATAAACCCGAAACATGTACGGTCGGGTCTTGTAATTAAAGCATATGATAAACCCGAAACATGTACGGTCGGGTCTTGTAATTAAAGCATATGATAAACCCGAAACATGTACGGTCGGGTCTTGTAATTAAAGCATATGATAAACCCGAAACATGTACGGTCGGGTTTTGTAATTAAAGCATATGATAAACCCGAAAACATGGAGACCAGAGAGTCTTTTTTCTTTCTTTCTTTTTTTTTTAATTTTCTGCTCGTGTTGGGCCGTTTGCCATTCAAATAAGTGTGACAACAGTTTCCTGAAAATTTAACATTTCTCTTTGGTCCAATCTTTTGGGAATTTCTGACGGAAAAGAAGAAAGACCTTCGGAGGGAACGATGATGTTGGTGCCGATGCTGGTAGATATAAGCACCCGCTGATTACTATCGTTTATAATTTCATCGATTTTATTTTCCATCTTGACTAGCAATGACTGAATCAACAAGGTTTCTTATTCCCTTTCTTTCTTTCTCTCGTTCTTTCTTTCTTTCTTTCTTTCTCCCTTCATTTCTTTTTCAGAACGCTTTTATTTCTCTTTCTTCATTTCTTTCTTTCTTTCTTTCTCTTTTTCTTTCTTTCGCCCTTTCTTTCTTTCTTTTTCAGAACGCTTTTATTTCTTTTTCTTTCTTTCTTTTTCAGAGCGCTTTCTATTTCTCTTTCTTTCTTTCTTTCTTTTTATTTCGCTTTTCTCTTTCTTTCTGCCTTTCTTTTTTTTTCAGAAAGCTAATTCTCTTTCTTTCTTTATTTCTTTACTTATTTTTTTTCGCTTCTTTCTTGCTTTCTTTCTCCCTTTCTTTCTTTTTCAGAAGGCTTTTATTTCTCTTTCTTCATTTCTTTCTTTCTTTCTCTTTTTCTTTCTTTCTCCCTTTCTTTCTTTCTTTTTCAGAACGCTTTTATTTCTTTTTCTTTCTTTCTTTTTCAGAGCGCTTTCTATTTCTCTTTCTTTCTTTCTTTTTATTTCGCTTTTCTCTTTCTTTCTGCCTTTCTTTTTTTTCAGAAGGCTAATTCTCTTTCTTTCTTTATTTCTTTACTTATTTTTTTTCGCTTCTTTCTTGCTTTCTTTCTCCCTTTCTTTCTTTTTCAGAAGGCTTTTATTTCTCTTCCTTTCTTTCTTTCTTTTTCAGAACGCTTTTATTTCTCTTTCTTTCTTTCTTTCTTTTTCAGAACGCTTTCTATTTTTATTTCTTTATTTCTTTATTTATTTATTTTTATTCCGCTTTTTTCTTTCTTTCTCCCTTTCTTTCTTTTTCAGAAGGCTAATTCTCTTTCTTTCTTTCTTTCTTTATTCATTTATTTTCTTTCGCTTCTTTCTTTCTTTCTTCCTTCCTTTCTTTCTTTTTCAGAAGGCTTTTATTTCTCTCTTTTTCTTTCTTTCTCTTTTTCTTTTTTCTCCATTTCTTTTTTTCAGAACAATATCTATTTCTCTCTCTCTTTTTTTCGTTTCTTTCTTTCTTTCTTTCTTTCTTTCTTTCTTTCTTTCTCAACATATTACAACTTTCTGTTTTATTTTTCAACAAATCACAACTTTTAACAGATTCCACTTTTCTTTGTTCTTTTTCATTGGTTCAAATCACCCCCCATTACCTTGAGTCATACTTTCCGTTTTGGTGAATTAATTGTCACGTATCATGTATTCACCTAACAACTAATCATACATGGTAGTTAAGAATAAATTTAGATTTGCACCACAATGGCGGCATGCACAGTGGATTAAAGAATAAATTCCGTAACGCCGCTAAAAAAGGCACTGCATTTACGTCAGTTCAATCGAGGGAAAGACATCTAGACACATATGTGGTGTTTATGGTCAATGGGTCATAACTGATTGCCAATTATGGAATTGGTTTGCAAAGTTTCTTTTTGGAGAAGACATCGTTGGAAGATGAAACCAAACTGTGGCGTTCATCGAACATTGATGATGAAGCTGTAAAGTTATTAGTAGAAAGCAATGTACAGCAAAGTACTTGTATCTACCTGCGGAAAGAAATATAAAGGGTAGACAGGCCGCCCCCTTAAGGTAAGGCTTCAAGAACACCAGAAAGCTGTAACACGAGGGGAAGTGGAAAAATCAGGCGTGGCTGACCCCATATGGAGAGAAGGGAGATCTGTGGGGTCAAGTTGAGATCACAGACAAGGAATACCATTGGAAAATTCGTAAACCTAAGGAATCAGCACATATGTTAGACCACAAAAATCTCCTGAGCCGATCAAGCAGAGAAATGAATACAATATGGGAACCAGTAATAAGAAGTGAAAAGCGATAATAAAAACTAAAGTTGCAACATGACCTCTGGTAAAAACATGAAATGATAACAGCAAAAATTGCAATATGAGCACTGTTAAAAATGGTTGCTGAAGACATTAGGTCTATAATACCCAGAAATTCATACACAGATGTCCTCAAGGACACATGGCAGAGTGGATAAAGGCGTTGGTTAAATCCAGAACCCAAAGAGTGTGAGAACTTGGAGAGGAGAATTAACAGGAGATAACTTATAACTGACATCCATTAAACATGGCAAGTGGAACTAGAACAGTCTACCCCAGTGAGCGAAATAAAGGGTTCAGTTCGACATTCCAACCACCTGAAGAAGGCCGAAACGTACAACGGCCGAAACGTTGTGATAAATATGGCGACAAAGAGGAGAACAATAGCCCGAATAAGGTAAATAGTGTATGTAATAACTCATCTCAGAAATATAGACAGATACTGATGGGTCGGATCGAAACGTTGTAATAAATATGGCGACAAAGAGAAAAATAGTGCGAATAATGTAAAGAGTGTACATAATACCTCATCTCAGAAACTGATACTGAAAGGCCGAAACGTTGTAATATAATATGGTGATAAAGATGAGGACAATAGTCCGAATTATGTAAATAGTGTACATAATATCTCATCTCAGAAACTGAGATACTGAAAGGCAGAAACGTTGTAATAAATATGGCGATAAAGATGAGGAGAATAGTCCGAATAATGTAAATAGTGTTCATAATACCTCATCTCAGAAATATAGACAGATATTGAAAGGCCGAAACGTTGTAATAAATATGGCGACAAAGATGAGGACAATAGTCCGAATAATGTAAATAGCGTATATAATACCTCATCTTAGAAATATAGACAGATACTGAAAGGCCGAAACGTTATAATAAATATGGCAACAAAGATGAGGACAATAGTCCGAATAATGTAAATAGCGTATATAATACCTCATCTTAGAAATATAGCCAGATTATGTTATTTTACTTTATTTTTTGAAGAATAAAATCGATAAACAAAAATAGAAATTATTCATGTGCCATCCTAATATTTCTTTCATTCTTTTCTCTTGTTTCTTTCAATTTACTTGTGTCTTTAACATATATAACATTTCTTAAAATAACTTCCATCATTTATTTCCTTTTCCCTTTTTTTAGCACATCCCATAATATTTCTATCATTCTTTCTTTCAACATATAATTTCCTTTCTTTTTTGTCCTTTTTCTTTCTTTTTCTTTTTCGTCAATTTTCCTTTCTTTCACACAATCTTTCTCTCATTCTTTCAACATATGATTTTCTTTCTTTTCTAGCCTTTTTCTTTTTTCTTTCTTTTTCGTCCTTCTTTCTTTCTTTCTTTCTTTTTCCTTTTTGTCAGCACATCATATCATCGTTCTTTCTTTCATTTATCCCATCAACATATAATTTTTTTCTTTTTCATCTTTTTTTCTTTCTTTCTTTCAACTTATAATTTTTCTTTCTTTCTTTTTTGTCCTTTTTTCTTTCTCTCTTTTCCGTCATTTTTTCCTTCTTTATTTTCTGTCTTTTTCTTTCATTTCCTAAAGGCATATCTTTTCTTTCCTTCATTTTTCTTTCAACACATCCTATTTTTTCCTTCTTTAAACTATCTTTAAATTCAGCTCTTTTTTATTTATTTCTTTTCCTTTCATTTTTCTTTCTTTCGAAACAAAGACATTTTCTTTTCTGTTTTTCTTTCTTTCAACCTATTATACTTTTCTTTTTGTTCTCTCTTCCTTCGGCACGTCACAACTTTCTCTGTCAGACTTTCTCCTTTCCTCTTACTTTCTGTTTTTTCTTTCTGTTTTTTCTTTTTCTTTCGTTCTCTCTTCCTTTCAAATATACCCTTTCCTTTTCATGCATTTACTTTCATTAGTATTCTTTTATGACTATCTTAGTATGACACAAAGATAAAAGACAGAAATAAAGAGGATAATGTTACGTCCTTCTATTCTCGGTTGGTTGCGCCTGGCAAATACTGGTTTATGCTTCGGCTTGAACGCCGACTTGCACCACCGTTTACGTAATGCGTAGTCATTTCAACCATAAACCCCGGTCAATTTCTTTCTTTCTTTCTTTCTTGCTTGCTTGCTTTCTTTTAAATATTTTTTTCTTTGCCATCAAATATATCCCGCTCGAAATATGCCTGCTCCAGCGTAATGCTTAGCATGTTAGGCCATTGCCAGTTTAGTGTATTCGAAATTGTCCGACTATTTTGTGTCGGTGTCACACAATGCTAAACTTGTTCCATAGCAATGTTGATTAATTTGCCTTTCTCTCGTCTTTTTCTTTCTGTTTCTTTTTTTTTTTTTCTTTCTTTATATTCTTCTCACTTTTCTTTCACTATTTATTTTTTTCCTTCTCTTTGTTTTAATTTTATTTCTCTCTTTCTCTTCACGGTTTCACGACCCTTTTTCTTTCTTTATTTCTTTTCTTAGTTATTTTGTCCCCCAACTTCTTTCTTTTCCTCGTTTATTTCGTCTTGTCCTTCTTTCTTTTCTTTCTCTCCTGCATTCGCTTTTTCCTGCTTTCTCTTCCTTGTTCCTTCTTCGTTTCTTTCTTTTCTCTTTTCCTCGTTCTTTCTTTCTTTCTTTCTTTCTTTCTTTTTCTTTCTTTCTTTCTTTCTTTCTTTTCCTCGTTTATTTCGTCCTGTCTTTCTTTTCTTTCTCTCCCGCATCTTTTTCCTTCGCTCTTTTCCTGGTTTCTCTTTCTCATCTCTTTCTTTCATTCTTTTTTTCTTTCTTTCTTTTCCTCGTTTATTTCGTCCAGTCTTTCTTTTCCCTTCGCTCTTTTCTTTCTTTCTTTCTTTTCCTCGTTTATTTCATCCTGTCTTTCTTTTCCCTTCGCTCTTTTCTTTCTTTTCTTTCTTTTCCTCTTTTATTTCGTCCAGTCTTTTCTTTTCCCTTCTTCTTTTTTTCTTTCTTTCTTTCTTTTCCTCGTTTATTTCGTCCAGTCTTTCTTTTCCCTTCGCTCTTTTCTTTCTTTCTTTCTTTTCCTCGTTTATTTCGTCCAGTCTTTCTTTTCCCTTCGCTCTTTTCTTTCTTTCTTTCTTTCTTTTCCTCGTTTATTTCGTCCAGTCTTTCTTTTCCCTTCGCTCTTTTCTTTCTTTCTTTCTTTTCCTCGTTTATTTCGTCCAGTCTTTCTTTTCCCTTCGCTCTTTTCTTTCTTTCTTTCTTTTCCTCGTTTATTTCGTCCTGTCTTTCTTTTCTTTCTCTCCCGCATCTTTTTCCTTCGCTCTTTTCCTGGTTTCTCTTTCTCATCTCTTTCTTTCATTCTTTTTTTCTTTCTTTCTTTTCCTCGTTTATTTCGTCCAGTCTTTCTTTTCCCTTCGCTCTTTTCTTTCTTTCTTTCTTTTCCTCGTTTATTTCATCCTGTCTTTCTTTTCTTTCTCTCCCGCATCTTTTTCCTTCGCTCTTTTCCTGGTTTCTCTTTCTCATCTCTTTCTTTCATTCTTTTTTTCTTTCTTTCTTTTCCTCGTTTATTTCGTCCAGTCTTTCTTTTCCCTTCGCTCTTTTCTTTCTTTCTTTCTTTCTTTCTTTCTTTCTTTCTTTCTTTCTGTCCTGTCTTTCTGTCCTGTCTTTCTGTTTTCTTTCGAATCTTTTTTCTCTCTTTCCCCACCTTTCTTTTTCTCATTTTCTTTATACTCCTTTATTATTTTTCTTTCTTATTTTTCATTATCCTCCTTGTATTCTTTTCTTTTGTCCTACAAGCAAATAAATTTGTTCCTTCCTAATTTCTACCCAAACTTCCTTCTCTCCATTTTTATTTTCTTTCTTTTTATTCTTACTCATCGTCTTCAGTACAGACACCCTCTCTACCATTACGAACAACTAAATGTCTCTAAATTTATTTACAAGTCACAAGTCTTCAAAGTCCCGGGGAAATTACAGTTCTTTGTTGAATCTATCCTTTTACGTAAGCATTCGATGCTGGGTAATCCCACAGGAAACGTTCTTTACTTTGACCACACCCATCTTTTGTACATTTACCTTGCTTTGGAGAAGGTTAAAGAGAACAAACATTTTGGACAACAATGTCTGCTACAATTCCAAGTGCAAATTCCAAGCAACTGTACCGTGTTTTCCAGATATTTTGAAAGCAGTGTTGGTTCAGACCATTTTTTAAAAATCTAATCCGCCATGCAAATTGTTTAAGGCGTTCGTTTTTAACTTGGATACAATAAAATAAATGGAAGGAATAGAACAAGAAAGAAAAAAGAAAGAAAAAAGAGAAAAGTAAAATAAACAAAGAAAGAAAAAGATAAAGAAGGAAAGAAAGAGAAAATTAAAAGAAAGAGACAAAGAAAGAAAGAAGGAAATGAGGAAAGAAAAGGATGAAGAGGAAAATAAACAGAAAAGAGTAAGAAAAAAGAAAAGGAGAAAGAAGGAGAAAGAGAAAATTAAAATGAACAAAGAAAGAAAGAAGGAAAGAAAATGATGAAGAAGGGAAGAACGTGAAAAATAGAAGAAAGAGACAAAGAAAGAAAGAAGGAAATGAGGAAAGAAAAGGATAAAGAGGAAAATCGACAGAAAAGAGTAAGAAAAAAGAAAACGAAAAAGAAGGAGAAAGAGAAAAGAAAGAAAGAAAGAAAGAAAGAAAGAAAGAAAGAAAGAAAGAAAAGGATGAAGAAATAAAGAAAGAGAAATATAGAAGAAAGTATAAAGATGAAAATTAATAGAAAAGAAAGAAAAAGGATGACCTTAAAGAGAGACAGATGAAAGAAACATGGCAGCTTTTGAAAACATGCTTTCTGGCTAATTAATAACCTAAGTCTAAAATACTCAGGTATCCATGATGAATATACTCTTCATCTTGGAATGATCTGGATGATAATCTTGATAAGCAATTCGTTATGAGTGTCCTTAAAATTTTTAATGTCGGTTGATGACTTTTGGACAATATTATTTTCTGTATAAAACGATAGAAAACCTTTAACGGCATACACAACTGCCTTCGTTCAAAAAGAAAAAAAAATGGAAGAATAAATGAATATTTTTTGTTTTGTTTTGCTTTGTTGTTGCATCTTTCCTACCTATCTGCGGGAACCTGAAGACACATTGAAACATTCCGTCTTCGGTTAAGATGACTTCCCAAATATTTCAACTAACAACCATACATTTTGTCTTCTTATAATTGATAATTAGTCCTTTCTTCTCACTTTCCTTTACTACCTTTTCTAGGGACCCCTGCAATTTCCTTTCACTGTCTGCTATCAATACTGCGTCGTCTCCAAAAGTTAAAAAAAAAAAAACGAAACTCTCTTTTAACCGTCTGAGAGAATCCTTTGTATCTTCCATCATTTCATCTTCTCGGGATAACGTTTTTCACTGACATCAAATAGAAAGATTATATTCGATCAACTGCTAAATTTGCCTGTAAGAAGATTTGTTAACTGTATCGTGCTAGACAATTTTTTCTCGTCGGAATCAATCTTACACATTTATAAGTCCACCATTCATCCATGCTTAGAATATTGCTGACACATCTGGTCTGGTGATGTAATTAGAAGTTCTTGATAAAATTTAAAGAAGAATCTGCAATGTTATTGGTCGTGGCCTGGAATCCCTGCTCCAGTCGCTGCATTTGAGTATTGCATTAATATTTACCTTTTCAAAGTTCAACGATAATTCTTCGGCCGCCACTCAATTTAAAGATAATTTCATCTACGTAGGTCCTTACTTTCCGTACAAATAAGTATTTTTATTTCATGGGTGATTTTCGCTGGATTCCGCAATTATTCTCAAATTTATTTATAAGTTATAAAATTTGTTATCAGACAAAAAAATTCGTGGCAAAAAATCCCGTAAAAAATCGCCGAAAGCAATGGGAATCCTAAATTTCATGATTTCAGTTCGGAACCTGACCCAGAAGGTTTTTAATTTTCTCACAGAAACGGCCTGATTCCAAAATGGTAGACTATGTTAGGCTATGGCCTCCAGGTGTAAAGTTGAAAACATGGACAATTTTATTTTGAACCACTAATTTGAGAATAGTATTTTATTCTTTTGAACATGAGCTATTGAAAGTTAGAGAGTTGTGTCCCTTTAATTGTTTTCATCAGTAGAAACCAGTATGGCGGAATCCAAAAACAATCGCAGTAATGAAAAATTGGGAATCCAAAATTTCAGGATCATGAGTCTGGATCCCTATAATACCATAACTTGCTCGCGGAATCGGCCTGATTTCAAAATGGTATCATATATTAGCCTACGACCTCTAGGAGTAAAGTTGAAAATGTGTGACACATTGACACGCTGTTCAACACTCATGGCATCTTCTCTGGAAGTTTTACTGTTTTTTATTAAAGTTTTTAATTCCCAACGTCACTGAAGGTAGCCACAACAAATTCAGTTATCTCACTGGTAGTCCGATAGAAATTTTTTGAATGGAAGAATTAAGTTTTGTGAGCAAAGATGGTGGAGTGTCACTTGTCACTGAAGAAGCAATCCTCGTGGATATTTCCTAGGAAAAACACAGGAGTTAGACCGTGTCACTAAAACTATCCAAGGGTAACAGATATCGATCCAAGGACATCAAGGAAAAGCGGATGTGTCTTTGGTGAACGTTATGTGGACGTTAAAAATCACCGCAAATTATTGTTGATATAGAATGATCCATAATGTCAGGTCTCTAATTTGTATTTAGATTGTGCCGATCTGTATCGCACACACATACATACATACACAAATACAAATCACATACAACGACAAGCATTCATTGGTTAATAAATCACCCCTACGTTATTATAGACAATTTACAAATCGCAGCAATGCGACAATTTTGTAATGGCTCTATTTTCATGTAGTCAGTTTTGTGCAATTTTGGGGAGAAACGGATCCCAGAAGCTTTCTTGAGTCTCCGCAAAACTCGCTCGCTGATTGGTCAATGCCAACCAATCAGATTGTCTGCATGTGAAGAATAACTCTTCCCGCGCAGCGATTCGGAGCCTATGGTCACTTATATAAGCAAGAAATATTCTTAGATAATTAGTGAGATTTCAGCTGCCAAACGAATCCACGACAGTTGAAACCATGCGCCAATCTTCTCACTCACACCACCACTCACATGCTGAACATTCCTTACATTCGCATAATCTTTTTTTACACAGCAAAACTGTTGAGAACATTTATTTCAAGAAACTATCACAATCTATTTTTCAGTGAATTATGGAATACAAAATAATAGTTAAAGAGAGACAACTTTTGTTTTATTCAACCTTTTTTCCTACTCAATGTATGCCTTATTTCACATCCTTGTACATCTTGTTAATTTTATATTTTTTATTATATTTTAGTCTTTTGATTATCCTTTTTCACGTCATTTTTGTTTCTTGATCTAAAGTTAAATTAATGTGGTAAAGTCCGCCACAAGATACATTTTATTTATTTTCAATTTTTCTTGTTGAAGTGTTCACATACAGGGTGGGTCTAAATTTGGCTTACACTTAGTAGGTATGCATTTTACATTGTTACAGAATATTTTATTACATTTATTTGTTATTATAATTATTTTCTTTTTAAAAATATGATTCCACTGCGACACAGAAATTTTCCATGTTTCAAAACTGAAACTAAATTTATGAATTTAATTATAAAAATTAGACTTAAAATCCATAGTCTCGTTCTACTGTCAAGCGATGAGAGGAACGAACTTTCGAAGAAATTTACAGTAAGGATCGAACCCAATACTCAGTCGTAATTGTTTTAGCGAGACAAGCTTGCTAACCACGACACCATCTCGAGGTGTCCAATGTATTTAATTTATAAGCGCAAGCAATATTGATATTATGAGTGTTTTAGGTTAAGGAAAATCTATTTTAATTTAGGGGTGGCTGGGTTTTAATTTCCCTAGACAGCTTATGTTTCAAATATATGTTACTTACAAAGTTATGTTAAGTTTAGGTGGGGGTGGGGGTGCCTGCTAACTTCCGTTATACTTCCGTTATTCAATGAGTTGTCTGGGTTTTCAATGATAAAAAAATCTGTTTTTTTTTATTAAAATAGCTGCTAAGAACACTGGATTATAAATCTTACTGTTCTTTCTTATCTCTATCTATAAAAGGCAGGATGTATGTGTGTGTGTGTGTGTGTGTGTGTGTGTGTGTGTGTGTGTGTGTGTGTGTGTGTGTGTGTGTGTGCAACGGCCGCAATTTTCGACGGATTTGCACCAAAATTTACATGCACATGCTCCAAGTTAGCGGGAAGGCCAAGACTGACTTTGCATTTCCCAACTCCCATCGATAGTTGAAAATCGATTTTTTCATGCTTCTACGGCAGTTTTCATATAGTTTGCGGCCATTTTCTACTGACCAGAGTGAGAGCCTAGAGCTGGCTGCCACGAATAGGCAGGAAGATTCTATTGGCCAGCGTGAGAGCCAACAGCTGAATGACACGAATGTTAACTAGCATGCTAGCATGCAAAAAAAAATCGATAGCTGCATTCGTCACAAGTGGGAAAAATTTAAATCTGCATGGCACTTTACTCCAATTGGCTCATTCGCTTGCTTAAACTCAACGTTGATTCTGATTCCGCAGAACTGGGTTGGGTGTGAAAAAGTATTTGTTGTTAACATTCTTTTTTCATTCGGTTTTTCCAGTTACGAATCCTTTTTTAAAGCTGATCGTTTTGTGATCATTTTGTTTAGTTCTTTTTTCGTAACAGATTTAATGTTTAGTATAGAGGGCAAAAATATTTTAAGTCAAGTGATAGCGATTGCTGTATGAGTCGTACGAT